CCCTTCGTACAAACCCACACTCCTAATACGTGACGCCTCGTAAGAATGCAACTCCTCACCATCCCTTGAGGAATTCGTTTGAAAGAGAGGATGCCTGCCTTCTTAAAACAAATAAATACTTCCTGCCTTCTCTAACTCCTTTTTTCTTTCTTTTTTTCTTCTTCTTTTTCGCGTTATAGCCTTCAATTTCTGATTAATGTTGGAAAGGTTCGAGTGTAAGGATAAAAAATGTCCAAAAAATGGTACAGCATTGTAACTCGAGGGTTCTGATTGTATATATGGTAATCAGCGCCACTTTTCAAAAATTCAAAATGGCCGAACCAAGATGGCGAAAGCTTTTTGGAAAAATCGAATGAAATTTATTTTGACTTCATACTCGATAATTAATTTTTAAAAAAGTAGCATTCAAACTAGAAAAAAAGTAGTGAGAAAGTATAGCTATCGAAAAATTAAACTTGACCATAAAAAAAAACTCGTTTTAGACACTTTGAAAAACTGACAAAACTTCATATATTTTATTCTACATTTTATTCTATAATATTCATTCTATATTTTATTTTCCACCCTCTTTCCTAATTTTCATCAAAAATATTTACTTCTTTCTTATCCTGCTAATAAAAATGAATTCCTGCAACGAATTTAATTATTCATGAAAAAATTTTGATATTTATAAAAATAATTTAATTTTTGCGAAGAATTTTATGAAAATTTTTAAATAATTGATTTCTCACGACTAATTTTAGGCAAATTCAAATTTTAATTATTGGATTCCTCAGAAATTTGTATTATTCGTGAATAGAATTAAATTCTTACAAAGATATTTATACAGAAAATTTTTTAAATAATTGCATTCTGTTTGGGAATTTTATGAAAACAGTAGATATTGAAAATCATTGAATTGTGAAAAGTTTTTAAAAATGATTATATTTTACAAAGAATTCTATTAAAATTTTCGAAAATAATTAAATGTCTGTGTAGAATTTTATTAAATTTCTTTTTTCAAAAATAATTGAATTCCTGAGAAGAATTTTATTATTTATGAAAATAATTGAATTCTTGGGAAGGATTTTATTATAAAATACTTTAGAATCGTTAAATTTTCGGGAATAATTTTTTGTTATTTATTGACATAATTGAATTCGTTCGAAGAATTATATTTATGTAAATTATTGAATTTTTGGAAGAATTTTATTAAAATCTAAAAAAATTATCCAATTATTTCAAAAAATTTAATTTAAATTTTATTTCAAATAATTGATTTCTTTCGATGAATTTTATTAAAATAATTGAAAATAATTGAAATTCTGTGAAAAATTTTAACATTTTTGTTAAAAAAAAATTGTATTCCTCCAAAGAATTTAAAAAAAAAACATTATTTAAATAATTCATTTTTTTACGGAATTGAAATTAAATTTTTAATAATTTTTTGAGCAATTCCTATAAAATTGTACTATTAAAAATAATTGAATTCTTGCGATGAATTTTATTATTTAAGAAAATAATTGAATATTTGCAAAGAATTTTATTAAAATTTTCAAAAATAATTAAATTCCAGAGAAGAATTTTATTAATTATGAGAATAATTGGATTATTCTGAAAAATTTTATTAAAATGTTTAAAAAATGGAATTTCTGTGAAGAATTTTGTTATTTTTGAAAATCATTTAATTCCTGCGAACGATTATAATATAGAATTTTTTAAAATAATTGTAATTCCAAGAAAAAATATATTAGGGGAACATAGTCTAGGTCGGCCACCTTTTTGACTTTTGTTTATAACTTTTTTTTAAAAATGAATTTGGACAATTGAAGTATATGGTTGGAAAGTCCTGTTTAATAGGAACATTTTTTCTGTACAAAGTAAATTGACAGGTTTAAAAATGAAAAAGTTATAAAGATTTAAAAAAAAAAAAATTTGTAGTCCAGGTTGGCCATTACAGTCAAGGTCGGCCATGTTTAAAATTCAAAGGGCATTAATCGTTAAAAAATAAAATAACATGTTTGGAGTTACGGAAAATTGATTCTTTATTGTTTACAGTTTGTAACTTAATGAAATAACAAAATAATAACAATAAACAATATAAAAAAATAAATATAAATAAAAAAAAGTTTTGCACTAAAATATTAATAAAATTAAATAAAAATATTAATAAGATGATCAATTATATTATGAGTTATACAGAATTGCAGTTTTTGCAAATGAAGTAGCTCGTCCTCAACTTTGCGCATTTTAAACACATAGTGGCCGACCTTGACAGTAAGTAACATTACCGAATTGTTGTAACCATAAAGAAATACGTTTCGGGATTCGATTTTTTACTTTGTTTTCCTTTCAACCATGAGTCCCACAAATTTTCTGCATACTTGCCTTGACGATTCAATTTGTTTTTTATCTTTTATTAATGGTTTTTCACATTATGCACAAAACTTTTTTTGAGCTTTTTTTGTACCGACGTCACAGAAAACACAATTTTCGATTTTCCGAAAATGTAATTGAACAAAAAGTTAGGTTTCACTAAGACAAGCTTCGACAAAAATGCGCGTAGGTGGCGCTAGTGAACTTGACAAAAAAACGCGAGTGGCCTACCTAGACAGTAGGCCAACCTTGACTACATTCCCCTACTTTAAAAAATAATTGAATTCTTATAATGAATATTTATGAAAATAATAGATTTTTGCAAATAATTTTAATAAAATGGCTCAAAATAATTGAATTTTCGGGAATAATTCTGTTATTTATCGACATAATTCAATTATTGCGAAAAATTTAATAAAAATCTAAAAAAATAATTGAATTACTTCAAAAAAAAATTTAACTAAAATTGTATTTTGAAATAATTGATTTTATTCGAACAATTTTATTAAAATTTTCAAAAATAATAGAATTCCTGAGAAGAATTTTATTATTTATGAAAAATAATTGAATCTTTGCTAAAGAATTTATTAAAATGTTTAAGAAAAATTGAATTTCTGTAAGAAAATTTTTTTGTTTGAAGATAATTGAATTTTTCAGAAGAATTTTATAATGTTTATAAATAAAGACATTCTTGTGGATATCATTATTTGTCAAAATAATTGAATTTTTCGATTAATGAATTTAAAATAGTACTTAAAATAATTGAAATTCTTCGATGAGTTTTACTATTTATGAAAACAATTGAATTCTTGCTTAGAATTTTATCAAAAATTTGTTTAAATATTGAAATTTTATGAAAAATGTTATCATTAGTGAAAGTAACTGAATTATTGTAAAAAATTGTATAAAAATTTTGTTAAATAATTAATTAATTTCATTTTTTCGAATTTTTTTTTTTTAAACGCTATTCTAAATTAATTGAATTTCTGTGAAAATTTTATAATTTATGAAAATAATTGAATTTTGGATGAATTTTATCAATTTTGTTTAAAAATAATTGAATTCTTTTGCTTTTATTGAAAATACTGGATATTGAAAATGAATTTCGAATATTTTTTGAAAATAATTGAATCGTTTTAAAGAATTTGAGACTATAATATTTTAGAAGTTTTTTTATTTCTAGTATTAGTGATTTTAAAGTAAATTCTCAAAAAAAATCAGAAATAGTATCTTTTAGTGGCTGAAATCTAAAAAAAAGTACCCAAATAGTAGTATAACGTAAAAAAGTATATAGTAAATAGTTGGTTTTAGTAGATGAGTGCGAAGTCTGTTTATTATTCAAGAATTTTCAAAGCCACTAAAAATGATTTTGACATTTTTATTTTTTTACAAGAGAAATTTTTTTAGATTTTATTTTTAAAAGAGATGAAATCAAAATTCAATCTTAATAGAACAAATTAATTATCATTAATATAGGTGCATTATTAAAACTTTCATATAAAACTTGTTTTATTACTAAAACTATTACAAATTTTTGATTTATTTTTCCCTTTTTTCAAGCGTTTATATATTGTACATATATACAAGATGCAAAAAAATTTATGGAAAAAAATTGTCCATTGTCGTGCGGCTAATTAAGAAAGAAGAAGGAGAAGAAGAAAAAGCAACTTTAGTGCGTGTAAAAAGTGAAAAAGATTGATGAATTTCCAAAATGCCATTAAACACTTTTCCTCGTCTTTAATTTTCATTGTTGGAGCGTTAAGTGAACATTGAAGCGAGAGAGTTGCGTATATGTATATATACAGCGTAGGCCTGGTATATATATATATTTACAACTAATACACTACGGGGTGGCGCACATAAAGCGGCGTTCATCACACACAATAGACAGCCATGAAACAAAACGGCGGGGCCGTGGCCGTAAACTGGAAATATGTCAAAGATAATAAAACAATTAGCCATAAAACATAACGACCATGTACATATATGCGATCCTCGACTATACGCGAGGTCTATGGTGAGGATATATATATATCCATTATTTCTTTAAATATAGAAGTATAAATATATTTTTCCCTATTATTTTTTATATAATATCATTAATTATATATATTTTTGAATAAATTACATTTTTTATGTTTGGAGAAGCAGTTTTTAAAGGATGCATCTGTGAGGTGCATCCAAAAAATTAGAGTAAAAATTAGAAAATGTAGATTTTTTTTGTTTTATGGTGAAAGATTAAAAGTTGTGAGTTGTGGGGGATTATTCAAAGTTCGCCCTTGACTTGGCACTGGTATAAATCAACGTCTCTCTGCAACACTCTGCGCATATAGCATCGTAACGTCATCCAAAAGCTACAATATGTATATAGTCATAGTGTGTGCGTCTGTTCCAAAGACTATATGTAAGCTCGGTCATCCCTATCTCTCTGTTCGGACGTACATCACTTCCAACCCGTCACCCCTGCTCTTTTTCTACTAGAATGACACCTTATTCTTCCTTAATTCGTCTTCTCTTTCTTATTATTCTTCTTCTTCTGCCTTTCTCTCCTCTAATGTATATACTTTTTGGCGTGACAGTGAAACATAGGAAAAGCTTCTTGCCCAACACTTCAAATTTGTCATTTTCTTAATTAATTTTCAAAGAGTTTGGAGTTTGGTATAATGATGCTGATGATGATGTTCCTAAAAGAAATATTGCTAATGATACTAATGATATCATTCCCAACAGAAATAATGGTAATGATACTGATGATGTTGTTCCTAAAAGAAATAATGGTAATGATGCTGATGATGTTATTCCTAAAATAAATATTGCTAATGATGCTAATCCTAAAAGTAATGTTGAAAATCATGCTACTGATGTTGTTCTTAACAGAAATATTGGTAATGATGTTGTTCCTAAAAGAAATATTGGTAATGATGCTAATGATGTTGTTCCCAACAGAGATATTGGTAATGATGCTGATACTGTTATTCCTAAAAGAAATATTGGTAATAATGCTGATGATGTTGTTCCTAAAAGAAATAGTGCTAATGATGCTATTGATGTTGATCCTAAAATAAATAGTGCTAATGATACTAATGATATCATTCCCAACAGTAATAATGGTAATGATACTGATGATGTTGTTCCTAAAAGAAATAATGGTAATGATGCTGATGATGTTATTCCTAAAATAAATATTGCTAATGATGCTAATCCTAAAAGTAATGTTGAAAATCATGCTACTGATGTTGTTCTTAACAGAAATATTGGTAATGATATTGTTCCTAAAAGAAATATTGGTAATGATGCTAATGATGTTGTTCCCAACAGAGATATTGGTAATGATGCTGATACTGTTATTCCTAAAAGAAATATTGGTAATAATGCTGATGATGTTGTTCCTAAAAGAAATATTGCTAATGTACTAAAGATGTTGTTCCTAAAAGTAATGTTGCAAATCATTCTAATAATGTTCCTAACAGAAATATTACCAATTACTGGTTGCTGTTACTGTTACTGGTGTTGCTGCTGAAGATAAAAATGCAAATGCCAATGATGTTGCTGCTGAAGACAACAATGAAAATGCTAATGATGTTGTTGCTAAAAGTAATTTTGCAAATGTTAATGATGTTGCTGCTGCAGACAACTATGAATATGCTAATGATTTTACCACTAAAGACAACAATCCGAATACTAATGACAATGGTCTCAAAAATAATTATAAAGATGCTAATGGTTGTTGCTATAGATGACAGTACAAATACTCTCGAAAACAATTATAAAGATGCTAATGAAATTTCTGCTAAAGATGACAGTACAAAAGCTCTTGAAAATAATTATAAAGACGCTAATGATTGTTGTTAAAGACAACAGTACAAATACTGCATTGAGGAAAACAAACACCCCGCAGACAGTAATTGCAATCCAGCCAAAAAGCCAAAATCCGTCTCGAGATTAAACGCAAAAGCAACAGAATACAAAATCCTGTAAGCTATTTTAAAAACAGTTTTATTTTGACAACACACAAGTGCTTCAGTTGTGGAAAACGAGTAAGCTTCTAATCGAGGGATGGAATACTGGGATCGTTGCGGTATGTTGCGAACCACCGATGTAGCAATGGTGCGGGAGCGTTGGGATTTCGAGTCAAAGAGAGGTCGAGCGAGAGAGAGAGAGAGAGAGAAAGAGATGGCAAGGGGAGACGTTTGTTGGGGGCGGTTGAGGGTGTAGAACGCAACCGATGTTCACTTATTGGCGACGTGTCTGCCGGCATGGTGCAGAACACCCAACGTGAATTTCTGCAAGCAAACACGCGAGCAAATTTCTCTCTTTCGCTTTTTATTTCTCCCTTGCACTCTCGGACTCTCTCTTTTACTTGAATGTGTGTGGGTGAATTTGGATTTTCTCTGAGAGAAAGACAGAGAGAAAAAAAAATTCACGAATGAACGTAAGGGAAGGAGGGTTCTGCGGTTTTTTTTCGAAACAGGTGGCGCCGAAACCAACGTCGATGCTGTAGCTGTCAAATATTGCGGTTGCTTTAAAAATCGATCGACCCCGATTCTCGTTTTCTCCCCTTGTGGTGTGTTACGTGCCTCTGCATAGGCGAGCCTATACACACTAAGAGAGGGTGAACTCCATTTTCCCTTTTTTAAGAAAATCTACAAGGAAGTATAGTATAGACGAGAGGGTTCCTCTTTTCGAGTCGTCTCACCAACTGCTACCATTCTACGAGATCTTATAAATTCTTCTTCCTCTAAAATAATGGATATCGAAACAGGAGTTTCCTTCATACCATTAATGCCATTAGATATGGAGTCATCTTTGTTTCATTATTTTTGTTCTTGTACAACTCAACATGATGCTGAATGATAATGATGTTACTGTATGGGTTTTATTGATGATGCACTGTCATCATAATCAATCATTTTGTTATCATCTAGAGAAATTGTTTTGGGTGTTTTGTTATCTAATGACATTAATGAAGATACTACCGAAATTGGTGATAATGATAAAGACATTGTTGATAATACTGATGTAGTGGTTGATAATAGTATAATTCTTTTGAAATTGCTGATAATGCTGATGAAATTTTCAAAAATGCTGCTGCAGTGATTGATGATGCTTCTGAAATTGCTAATAATACTGCTAAAATTGTTGCTAATGCTGTTGTAATGGTTGTTAATGCTGCTGTAATGGATGATAATACTGTTTCAATTGCTGAAAATGTTGCTATAAGATTTTTGAAAGTTTTACTGAAATTAATTATAATGACACAATAATAAATAAATGTAACTAAATGATGATGGTTCTGAAGCTAAACATAATGTTTGTTAATTATCATTAAGCTAATCCTGATGATTCTCAATTGGCACTAGGATAATCCTAATGGTTCTCAATTGGCATTAAGATCATCCTAATGTTTGATAATTGCCATTAAAGTAATTCTAATCTTTGTTAATTATCATTCAGCTAAAGCTAAAGTTTGTTAATTAGCATTTAGATCATCCTAATGTTTGTTAATTATCAAGAAATTAATTCTAATGTTTGTTAAGTATGGTTAAGTTAAGCCTAAAGTTTGTCAATTAGCGTTAAAATAATTCTAATGTTTGTTAAATACCAGTAAGCTAATCCTGATAATTGTCAATTAGCATTAAGATCATCCTAATGTTTGTTAATTACCATTAAAATAATTCTAATGTTTGTGAATTATCATTAAGCTAATCCTCATGTTTGTCAATTAGCATAAAGATCATTCTGCTGTTTATTAATTACCATTGTAGTATCATTAGCACTTACTGTTGGAACTTACAGGAAATATGTAGGAATATTACACGTGTGAGACAAAAGAAAGGAATTAAGATACAAATATTGAGACTTTATTGAACAATTAATAATTTAGTATTTAACATAGATTTCATGGGTTCTTTAGGCTTTACTTTATTTTGAACCGTACAACTTTATGTATTTACCGCAGGACCGTTTTTGTACGACTAACGAAAAATTGCAACCCTAAGTGGGACTCAGGTAATGCATTTACCTGGTTTCCCTTTCCACACAATTTTCCTTCAAGATTCATTTCTGACATTGATATTAATAATTATCGTTGTATTCCAACACTTTCCCTCAACGATAATTTTATTCTGTATTAAATAAATTCATAATATAAAACTGAATTGAACACTTTACACATCTGAAAACTATAAAAGCATTAACTGAAATTTAGTTGTATGCAAATACACTGAAGAATTAAACTCTAAACTTATTGTCCTTTAAATTATTGTCTTTAGTACCCCTTTTTGTTCTGTATCGCTGTTCTATAGATTTCACTTTTTAACATTTGATAAATCCACATAAATTTCCGGTGGTATACCTTTATTTTCCCTACTCGACCTTCTTAACCCATTGTCATTTTCGTGATGACTTTCATCATCAGTGAATGACTCAAATGATTCTGATGAATAATTTGATTCCGATGCACTTTCTACACTTGTTTCTTTCCCTGAATTTTGATCCTCTTCTTCTATTTGCTTTTCATCTGAATTTTTATTGCCTACATTGTTCTGCAAATCCTTGCCCTTTTCGTCTATATTTACCTGGATCCAATCGACATACACCATATTTCCGGATTTGTACTGACCGTTGTTTCCTGCTACGGCTGAGACTTTTATACCTGGATTGACGGGCCTCGATGTCGCTTTCCTTAATTGCACTGCATGTTTATTTTGGATATCTTCTTTAACTTTTATTACTTCTTTTTCACTCGAATCTTTAGTCTGCAACTCAAAGAGTTTATTTTTTGTCAAGACCGCTGTTGCTTTCACCTTTCCGTCTGTAGGGCTAATAACACTGCAAATTTTATCTTTGAATTGTACACTAAAACCTTTTTCTATTAACTTAGTTACCGACAATAAACTTGAACTCAGTTTTGGCACGTACAAAACATCTGTCACTTTTATTGCGATTTCTTTGCCGTTGTTTACAAGTTTAAGTGTCCCGGAACCGATCCCTTCGACGTTTGTAAATTCGGCTTTATCCGCGAACTGCACTTTCCCTTTCTTTTCACAAAAGAGTTTTTCAAAAAATTCCTTGTTGTTACACATGTGGCTTGTTGCTCCTGAGTCCATGATCCAGCAATTGTCCTTTATGCTTTCACTTGCACTACACACTTTTGAGCACATATTGTCTTTTGTTGTAAAAGCAAATTGGTCATCTTTATCCACATATGAAACAGTATTCGCTTTATCTTGCTTTTGTTTCCACACTTTATATTTTTCACACTCCTTTTTAAAATGTCCTTTCTTTTTGCAAAAGAAACATTCTATTTCCGATGTGACTTGAGCTTTCATTGCTGATTCCTTACTGTAGCCTTCATTTAGCGCATTCTTATTTTTCCGCCTTTTGTATTCGTCGATTAATTTACTTTTTGCTAACGACAATGAAAGTGCTTCTTGTCTACCTTCTAACATTGTCACTAACGTATCGTACGAATCTGGTAGAGTTTCTAGTAACATTGCTGCCGCAAACTTATCTCTGATTTCTTCACCTAAAGCATTTAGTCTGTTTACCGTATTTTGCACTTTATTGACATGGTCCTCCATATCACCGTCTTCACTTAATCGCATTCTGCATAAAGTTCTGTAGAGATGAACAATACTTGCTTCCGAAGACTTTTGGTGATAATCTTCTAGAGCTTTCCATGCGTCTTTTGCGTACTTGGCGTTGATAATGTGAACTAACTGGTTATCATCCACAAGCAAACCTATGGTGGAAGAAGCTTGATCGTCCTTCTTTTTCCAAGTCGCGTCCGGAGTTTCTGGAATTTCTTCATTCACCACTGACCATATTTCCAAATTAACAAGCATTTGTTTAACTCTATATTTCCACACGGCGTAGTTATCATTGTTCAGCTTCTCTATTTGAAAACTTGGTCTAAAACTTTGAGCCATCGTGAAATAACAAACACTTTATTACTTAAAATTCTTTAAACTTTAAATTGTCACTTTTATTCAATTCACTTTAATGTCCGAATTGTCACTTGAGCTTTATATCTCTTGGTACACTGTTCTTTATTTTAATCGTTCTCTTGAAGTTAAAATTCACTTAAACTTTATTTTAACACTTTATTCCTTTCCTTTTATCTACCTGGGCCCATAACCTGTTGGAACTTACAGGAAATATGTAGGAATATTACACGTGTGAGACAAAAGAAAGGAATTAAGATACAAATATTGAGACTTTATTGAACAATTAATAATTTAGTATTTAACATAGATTTCATGGGTTCTTTAGGCTTTACTTTATTTTGAACCGTACAACTTTATGTATTTACCGCAGGACCGTTTTTGTACGACTAACGAAAAATTGCAACCCTAAGTGGGACTCAGGTAATGCATTTACCTGGTTTCCCTTTCCACACAATTTTCCTTCAAGATTCATTTCTGACATTGATATTAATAATTATCGTTGTATTCCAACACTTACTAAAACAGCTCTTGACATTTTTATTTATCAAAAACAAAATTAAACAAGTAAAATAAAAATTTCTTCATCATGATTACAAACAATTAAGATTTTCAAAAGCATTCGTATTCACATAATTAAGTATTCCAAAGACGTTTCACTGCAGACACAATATTAGATTCGATGACCAAAACAAAATGCAAACTGTCAATTCATAAAAGTCTCATCCTCTTCATTATATAGCAGAAATGGAACAGTATGTGCAATGATGATAATGATGATGATGATTTGATCA